AGAGGCTTTGTCACTGACATACAGAAATGCCTTTGATTTATGGGTGTTGATTTTATATCCTCCTACTTTGCTGAATTTATTTACTAGTTGTAGCAGTTTTCTCATGGAGTTTTTTGGGTCTTCTAGATATAGAATCATATCGCCAGCAAATAGTGCTAATTTATGTTTTTCTTTTCCTATGCATATCCCTTTGATTTCTTTCATTTGTCTAATTGCTCTGGCCAGTGTTTCAAGAACTATGTTGAATAGAATTCGTAAAAGAGGGCATCCCTGTCTTGTTCCAGTTCTTAGAGGGAATGCCTTCAATTTTTCTCCATTTAGAGTTATGTTGGCCTGAGGCTAAGCGTAGATAGCCTTTACAGTGTTGAGATACGTTCCTGTTACCCCTGGTTTTTCTAGTGTTTGTAACATAAAGGGGTACTGTATTTTATCAAATGCTTTTTCTGCATCTATTGAGATGATCATATGATTCTTATCTTTAAGTCTATTGATGTGATGAATTACATTTATTGATTTTCATATGTTCAGCCACCCTTGCACCCTGGGATGAATCCCATTTGAACGTGGTGCACAATCTTTTTGATGTGTTTTTGTGTTCAATTTGCCAGAATTTTATTGAGAATTTTTGCATCTATGTTCATTAGAGATATTGGTCTGAAGTTTTCTTTCTTTGAGGTGTCTTTGCCTGGTTTTGGAATCAGGGTGATATTGGCCTCATAGAATGAGTTTGGAATTACTGCCTCTTTTTCTATTTCCTGAAATAAATTGAAGAGTATTGGTATTAGTTCTTCTTTAAAGGTAGAACTCGACTGTGTATCCATCCTGTCCTGGACTTTTCTTGGTTGGTAAGCTTTTGATGATTTTTTCTATTTCCTCACTTGATATTCATCTGTTTAAATTGTGTATATCTTCCTGACTCAATCTGGGCAAATCATAAGACTTAAGAAATTTGTTGATGCCTTTAATGTCTTCTATTTTATTGGAGTGTAAGATTTCGAAATAAGAAAAAGAATTTTAAAAACCCCAAATCTTAAGAATGAAGGAACCATCTCCCCTGAAGTAGTCAAAATAGTTGGCCAGATTGGGAGGTCTCTATGTCCAACATTTTTTTTTTTTCCAATTCTTCCTGAGTTATGTACTAACAAAGTAGGGAGTGAGAGTATTAACCCGGTCCTGTTTTTGTATTGCTCTCTGAGCTGCCAGTTGGACCACTCTAAGATGGAGGCCATTTGATATAAGACTCCAGCTTCCTTTCTCACCTGTATGAAGTGGGGTAGGTTAGGACAAACTGTCAGTTGATATTTTGTCCTTTTGGACCTGTTTGGTGTACTCCCAATGGAAAGCTTCTGCTGAGTTCTGTGAAGGGAGTTGCCAAAGGTAGGGCTATTATCTAATCAGGCCTTAGGGGCTTTCTTAGACAGTGCCTGCCTTGGAGAGAGTAGATCAACCTGCCCCTAGGGCTAGACAGTAGCTGGCCTCTTATGCTGGTCTGGTTCTCAGAAGCCTTCTTAGAAATCAGTCTGCTTTCCAAATTGGCCTCACCAATTGGCAGTCCCACCAACAATGTGCAAGTGTACCCTTTTCCCCACATCCTTGCCAGCACTTGTTGTTTGACTTCATAATGGCTGCCAATCTTAGTGGACTGAGATGGTATCTTAGGGTGGTTTTGATTTGCATTTCTCTGACTGCTAGTTATGGTGAGCATTTTTTCATGTACTTGTTGATTGATTGTATGTCCTCCTCCGAGAAGTGTCTGTTCAGGTCCTTGGCCCATTTGTTGATTGGGTTATTTGTTATGTTATTGTTTAATTTTTTGAGTTCTTTGTATACTCTGGATATTAGGGCTCTATCTGAAGTGTGAGGAGTAAAAATTTGTTCCCAGGATGTAGGCTCCCTATTTACCTCTTGTATTGTTTCTCTTGCTGACCCAGCTATTCCCCTTCTCGGACTATTCCCTAATGACCTTAAAAGAGCGTACTGTAGGGATACTGCTACATCGATGTTCATAGCAGCACAATTCACAATAGCTAGACTGTGGAACCAACCTAGATGCCCTTCAATAGATGAATGGATTGAAAAAAATGTGGCATTGATACACAATGGAGTACTACTCAGCACTAAAAAATGACAAAATCATGGCATTTGCCGGGAAATGGATGGCACTAGAGCAGATTATGCTAAGTGAAGCTAGCCAATCCCTAAAAAACAAATGCCAAATGTCATCTTTGATATAAGGAGAGCAACTAAGAACAGCAGGGAGGAAGAGCATGAGAAGAAGATCACCATTAAACAGTGACGAGAGGCGGGAGGGAAAGAAAGAGAGAAGGAAAATTGTATGGTAAAGGAAGGAGAACCTCATTGTTACACAAAATTACATATAAGAGGAAGTGAGGGGAAAGGGAAAAAAAACGAGAGAGAAATGAATTACAGTAGATGGGGTAGAGAGAGAAGATGGGAGGGGAAGAGATTGGGAGGGGAGGGGGGATAGTAGAGGATGGGAAAGGCAGCAGAATATAACATACACTAGTATGGCAGTATGTAAAAACGTGGATGTGTAACCGATGTGAATCTGCAATATGTATACGGGGTAAAAATGGGAGTTCATAATCCGCTTGAATCAAATGTATGAAATATGATGTCAAGAGCTTTGTAATGTTTTGAACAACTAATAATAAAAAAAAATTAAAAAAAATTCAGTCTGGAACAGGGGGAGCCAGTCCTCCATTCACTGCTGCTCACAAGCACAGTCATCGCAGGGTTAGTCCTTGAGTGTGTTCACACTCAATTGCTCAGTCTTCTGCCCAGCTTTAGCTGGTCACACGAGTGCTGCCAGACACAAAGGAGAAGTGAGTGGGACTCACCTTTGTCTTCCAGTTGAACCCCCCTGGGTACGGTCCACACCCTACCTGTTTTACTCAGGTTCCTTCAGGCCCAGCCTAAGTAGACTATATATGCTTTTTGGAATATTGTGGTCATGTTTGTTTTTTTCTGTGTGTCTGTGTCTGTCAATCACAACGCCTACATGCTTGTCCCATACAGGGCTCCTGCCTCAGCTGTCCTAGGCCACTAGAGGTATAGAGATGCTTTTTAAGCACCAGCGAGCTCAGTGCAGCTTCTGGATCAGTGATGATTTGGCAACTTTTGTTTTATTTTTGGGTACCTGGGATTGAACTCAACAGCACTTACCACTGAGCCACATTCCCGGACCCTATTTTATTATTATTTTTTGTATTTTATTTAGAGACAGGGTCTCATTGAGTTGCTTAGCACATTGCTTTTGCTGAGGCTGGCTTTGATCTCAAGATCCTCCTGCCTCAGCCTCCCGAGTTGCTGGGATTACAAGCTTATGTCACTGTGCCTGGTTTTGGCAACATTTTTTTTCTTTTTTATTCTAATTTGTTATATATGATAGCAGACTGCATTACAATTCATATGACACACATAGAACACAATTATTCGTATCTCTGATTGTATACAAAGTATTTTCACACCATTCCTGTCTTCATACATGTACTTAGGGTAATGATGTCCATCTCATTCTACCATCTTTCCTAACCCCATTCCCCCTCCCTTCCCCTCCCACCACTTGCCCATCTAAAGTTCCTCCATTCCTCCCATGCTCCCCCTCTCAACCTCACTATGAATTAGCCCCCTTATATCAGAGAAAACATTCGTCATTTGTTTTTTTTGGAATTGGCTAACTTCATTTAACATTATCTTCTCCAGCTCCATCCATTTACCTGCAAATGCCATAATTTTATTCTATTTTATTGCTGAGTAATATTCCATTGTGTTTATATACACCACATTTTCTTTATCCATTCATCTACTGAAGGGCATCTAGTTTGGTTCCACAGTTTAGCTATTGTGAATTGTGCTACTATAAACATTGATGTGGCTGTGTCCCTATTGTATGCTGTTTTTAAGTCCTTTGTGTATAGACCAAAGAGTGGGATAGCTGGGTCAGATGGTGTTGCATTCCCTCTTTTCCAAGGAATCTCTGTACTACTTTCCATATTGGCTGCACCAATTTGCAGTCCCACCAGGAATGTATGAGTGTGTGAAAAAGGAAAAGCCAACACTGCAACCCAATAAAAGATATTTATTGGGTTTCTCCAGAAAACGACAGATTTTCTTGCAGGCCAGTCATTTATAAAAGGCCAGGATTTCTCTCAGCCTACTGTTTTCACTTGTGTCAAATGTTCCTCTTCATGTTGTTTTTGGGACTGAGAATCTGAAGCAGAAAGGAAAAGACTGCTGTCATTTTATGAGACATAAACTCTTTATTCTTTGATCAAGAATGCCTTGTGCCCAGTTAATTCTCCTCCTTCCAAAAAGAATCTCATGTCATTTGTCAGCATCCATGAAAATGCCATGTTTAATAGGTTATAAATAGATTAAAATCTAAACCTTAATAGTTCATGAATTATTTGCATATATTATTAATCAAATAGCATTAATATAAAACCAAAGCTGTGGAGTGTGTACTTTGTCAAATGTGCTTTATGCGTAGATCAAGGAACATGGGCTTAGAGAAGTTAGGTAACTTATTTGAAGTCTGTCTCTTAAACTAGTGCTTTTACACTAAATATTGAGTACTTTTAGACTGTTGAATATAAATTAGAACAAGTTTTAATTGTTTTCCTTATGTTAGATTATGAGATATTTCTACTGAATTGTGACATTTAACATATTTGCTTTGATTTTTTTTTTTTGGAAATAATCGGTTCCAGGTGTGGTGCTGTACTTGTAATCCCAGTGACTCAGGAAGGTGAGGCGGGAGAATCTCCAGTTTGAGTCTAACCTCAACAACTTAGTGAGACTCCCTCAATAAAAAAATAAAAAGGACTAGAGATGTGTAGCACAGTGATAAAGCACCCCTAGGTTTGATCCTCAGTATTGAAAAATAAAAATAATAATGGTAGTATCATTCATATATGTGTGTGTGTGTATGTGTGTGAGTATAAATAAATAAATAATGTGTTTTGTTTTTGTTTTAGAATTATTCTCTGTGTACTTCAGGCTGTACCTCAAACCTTCCCAAGAAATTAATAGAGTTTTAGTGGCTAGAATAATTCATGCTGTTACCAAAGGATGCTGTTCACAAACTGATGGATTAAATTCTAAATTTTTAGATTCTTTCTCCAAGGCTGTTCAGTATGCAAGGTAATTTAATTTCTTTTTGTGTTGGCTTTTTAAATTTGTGTGTGTGTCTTATGTTAAATATAGTTAATAAAACTACTGCCTTTTAAAAATGATTATTTTGATTCTATAAATTTGTGGAGTATAATGTGATAATTTAATACATATATGCAGTATATAATGATCAAATCTGGGTAGATAACATTTCCATTTCCTTATACATTAAATTTTTTTTTACTCACACGTATTCTTAGGTTACTGTGTGATATTTCGGTACATGTAAGAAACTAGATTCATGTTTTACCTGTTCAAAAATAAACTCAGAGTGGATCAAAGGGAAACATAAAGGAAACATTGGTAAAGCAAACAGTTTTACAATTTTTTGAGTAGATCCCAAAAGCAGAAATAGACAAAAGCGGGCTATGTTAACTAAGAAGACTCTGCCCAACAATCAACAGACAACCTATAGAAAGGGAAAACTTTTTTTAAAAAAAATTAGTTATTTTTTATCTATTTAACTTAATTGTATATGACAGCAAAATGCATTTCAATTCATTGTACAGAAATGGAAAGCAACGTTTCAATTGTCTGGTTGTATATCGTACAGTTATACATGTACTTAGGGTAATGATGTCCATCTCATTCTACCATCTTTCCTACTCTCATAATAGAAAGGAAAAACTTTTTTTTTTTTTTTGCAAACTTTTCATTTGACAAAGGATTAATATCTAGAATATAAAAAGACCTTAAAAACTCAACAAAAATACAAAAAACTGGGCAAAGGTCTTGAATTGAATACTTCTCAAAAGAAGAAATTCAGGGGCCAGCATATTAATGAGAGATGCTCAGCCTCATCAGCTGTTGGGAAAATGCAAGTCAAAACCACTGCAAGATATCATTTCATCTCCTTTAGAAGACCTATTTTTATTTTATTATTTTTTTGGATATGGGGGATTGAACTCTGGGGCACTCAACCACTGAGCCACATCCGCAGCCCAGTTTTGTATTTTGTTTAGAGACAAAGTCTCACTGAGTTGCATAGGGCCTCCCTATTACTGAGGCTTGCTTTGAACTCCCGATGCTCCTGACTCAGTCTCCCGAGCTGCTGGGATTGAAGGTGTGCTCTACCGCGCCCAGCAAAATAACTGTTTTTAAACATGCAAAAGTATTAAAAAATTATGGCAGAGGTTTTGAGAAAAGAAAACTTTCATGCTTTGTTGGTGGGAAGGTAAAACACTATCTTTCAAATAATGCATTGACCCATTGTAACAAAATCAGTAGATTCCTGAAGACTCAGAGCGAACACTCACTGAATTTAACTCAGTATGTGGAACATTAAATCATATTAAGTGGGATATCTGTCCTGTTAGAATAATGAATCTAGGAAAGTTAAATATCCTCCAAATAATTTTATCTTTTCCATTTTGACGATAGATGTAGTATATTGAGAATAAAGTAAACATATATTTTGGAAGTTTTAATATACATTTGTATGGTATTATCCAGTTTATAATGTGAAATGTTTTATAAGTGGTAACTATTACAGATCACTTTGTATATTTTAGGCAGTTTCAGCAGCAGAGAGATCTAACAGAAGTGATCATTTAGCACTGAATAAGAACCAGTTTTTGTTATTGTATTGTGTAATGCTGTTGTGATTTTTTTTTTTAATGGAGTTTTGTTATATTGGTCTTAAACTTGTAGACTCAACTGATATTTTAACCTCAGCTTCCCAAGTAGCTGGAACTACAGGTACATACCACTGTGCCTGGCTTTCTCATCAGTTTTGCATCTAAAACTATTGTTTGAAAATTAGATTTTTTTTAACTTGAAGCTTTATAACTATTTTTAGTATATGTAGTTTGTTCCCCCATTTTACCAAGTTGATTTTTTTTGTTTTCTGACACAGACAAGAAAAGAGTTCTGCAGGTCTTGGTCATATCTTAGCAGCCCTTATTATCTTTCTCAAATCCTTGGCTGTCAACTTCCGAATTCAAGTATGTGAATTAGGAGATGAAATTCTGCCTACCTTACTTTATGTTTGGACTCAACATAGATCTAATGATTCCTTAAAAGAAGTAATTATTGAATTATTTCAACTGCAAATTTATATCCATCATCCAAAAGGAGCCAAAACCCAGGAAAAAGGTATAAAGGCAATTTTTACTGTTTTGAATTTAATTCCTCATTAAAACATAGAGGCTTAAGTATGACATCAGTATTCTGTAGGAGGATTTGATCTTCCTCTGGATTTCTCTGCTTGATAATGTGATTAACCTTTAGAATGTCAGATACATTTTTAGAATTTGAATCAGTAGTAACAACTTATATCATGCCTTTCCATTTGTTCAATACAATGTTGGATATTATGAGGAATACAAACAAATATAAGACCTTTCCTATTTTGTCTTAGGAGCTGATTATACAATAGTACTTAGGTACTAAGAGGTAGCACAGAATTTAGAGAAAGCAGGATCTTACTCATATATTGCTTTTTTTGTGGCACCTAGGATTGAACCAGGGGTGCTTTACCACTGAGCTACATCCCCATCTTTCTTTTTTATTTTAAGATAGGGTTTAAGTTTCCCAGTCTGGCCTTGATCTTGAGATCTTCCTGCCTCTGCCTCCTCAGTTGCTGGAAATGCAGGTGTGCACCACCACACCCGGCTCACGTATTGCTTTTAGTTATCGACAGACACATCATCTTTCTTTGTATGTGGTGCTGAGGATCGAACCCCGGGCCGCACGCATGCCACGCACTACCGCTTGAGCCACATCCCCAGCCCATGTATTGCTTTTATTAGAGGAAAAACAGTGAAAGCAGCCAGTCAAATTATTCATTTTCCAAGGAAGTTATGTACATACTACTTTCACAGTAATGAGTTAGAAATGCATCACTGTCCTCCCTGGTTTCTTTTGCATTTATCTTCTAACAAGAGAGTATTGCTCAGATGGTGTGATTCTCTTCAGTAGATCAGAATTTCATCTGGTGGAACTGGAGCTGAGTGAGCTCACTTATGTCCCATCTGTGATTGCCTTTGGGTTTTTTTTTTTGTTGTTTTTTGTTTTTTTTTTTTTAAGAGTGAGTGAGAGAGGAGAGAGAGAGAATTTTTAATATTTATTTTTTAGTTCTCGGCGGACACAACATCTTTGTTAATATGTGGTGCTGAGGATCGAAGCCAGGCCGCACGCATGCTAGGCGAGCGCGCTACCGCTTGAGCCACATCCCCAGCCCCTGCCTTTGGGTTTATAGTAGCCTTTGGATTAATTCATCATGGCCAGTATATGACTTTATTAAGGTGGCATGTCACATTGGGTATTAATAGCCCCCAAAGGAGGGAAATTATTATAGCCACTCTTTGTTAGACTAGGTGTATGCATTTCATGGGCTTTTCTAGTATATGTATTTAGATATATGTTTAGAATATGAAACCACCTGAAGTTAAAAGAATGGTGATTTTTTCATAGTTTTACCTCTTCTTTTAATATTTATTTTTTAGTTGTAGTTGGACACAATATCTTTATTTCACTTATTTATTTTTATGTGGTGCTGAGGATTGAACCCAGGGTCTTGGGTGTGCGAGGTGAGTGCTCTACCACTGAGTCACAACCTCAGCCCAAGTTTTGTCTCTCTTACCTAGCTGTCACCAGTATGATGATCAGGCTTATTAGGAAATGTTAGTATATGTTTACGATATTAGTTAACTGCATTTTTTAGGGTGATTTGTAAATTGGTAGGGTAATGAGGCTGCTATAAATGCTAATGTAGTTTCAGACTACATTGATAAATTTTATGATTTCTTATTTGTGGGAAATAATAGCCCTTTTGTTCCTCATATTGGTCAGAACACAGTTGGAATATTACATTTACTAGACCCTGTTGACTCCATCATCACTACTGTAAGAGAGACATAAGTTTACGTGTTTCTTGGAAAACATGACTGAGATGTTGAGAATAACCACCCCAAAGGGATAACATGTCATTTGTATATTAGTTGAAGAAACTGGTAATGTTTTAGGAAAAAAGAAACACATAAGATCTTTATGTAAAAGAGGAAACATTAGTTGTATTTGGCTTTGGGATGGGGGGAGAATAAATTTTAAAAGGTGGATCAGAAAATGGAAGAAACTTCAATACCGTTGACTGAGGGTAGAATGTATGCTGTTAGGAAGTAGAACAACATGTCAAGGATATTGTCAGAGGAGGTATTAGTACTGAATAGAAGATTGGACCAGTTGTCTTCTAATGTTTGATGAAACTTAACAGTGTATAATTTTGTGGGGGATGGCAGTGCAAATAGAGTATGTAAATTACATTTTAATGTTTTTATTATAGGTGCTTATGAATCAATAAAATGGCGAAGTATTTTATATAACTTATATGAACTTCTAGTGAATGAAATAAATCAAATAGGAAGTAGAGGAAAATATTCTTCCGGATCTCGTAATATTGCTGTCAAGGAAAATTTGATTGAATTAATGGCAGATGTTTGTCACCAGGTATAGTAAATCTTGTCATATTTTGAAATTTCCTGTTTATTTTTCTTTTGATTTTTCTTTTCTTTTAGTTTAGTTTTAGTTGGACACAAACCTTTATTCTATTTATTTTTATGTGGTGCTGAGGATTGAACCCAGTGCCTTGCACATGCTAGACGAGCACTCTACTGCTGAGTCCCAGCCCCAGTCCTTTGATGTTTTTTTTTAAACTCTGTGCTATCATAAAAAGCCTATAAAATTACTCTGTACATATAATCATTTCTTTCAAAATGTACATATATGTATATGTAATATTTATGTAACATAAGTGTATATTCAGTGTACATATGTAAATGTATAAGTACATTTAGATTTAGTTGGACACATCTTTATTTCATGTATGAAATGTATGAATGTGTATGTAATGTATGTATACATTTTTGGAATTACTCTTCTAAGTTAAAAGATAACTCTTGCACATATGGGTTTAATAAAACCATTAAAACTAATAATGGAATTTCCCTTTTTTTAAAGGGTACTGGGGATTAAACTTGGGGGCATTTGACCACTGGGCCACATCCCCAGCCCTATTTTGTATTTTATTTAGAGACAGGGTCTCTCTGAGTTGCTTAGTGCATTGCTTTTGCTGAAACTGGATTTGAACTTGCCATCCACCTGCCTCAGCCTCCTGAGCTACTGGTATTACAGGCATGCGCCACCACACCTGGCTTCCATTTTTAAAAGATTATCTATAGGAAATAACGTGGCCCTATTCCCAATTTTTTGTTTGTTGTTAAATTAGAATTCAGTTAGCATAAAGGTCAGTTTTAATGTGTCTGTTTCAGTGGTCATTAGTAATTTTAGTGTTACAAAGTCATGACCACTATTTGTTCCAGAGTATTTTCATCACCCCCCAAAAAGAAACCTCATACCTGTTAGCATTTAGTTCCAATTCTTGTTGTTGTTGTTTTTTAATATATTTATTTATTTATTATGTGGTGCTGAGGATCCAACCCAGGGCCTCACACGTGCTAGGAAGTGCTCTACCGCTGAGCCACAACCCCAGCCCTCCACTCCTTAATTTATCTTAGCCTCTGGGAACCAACCATAATCTACTTCCAGTGTCTGTGCTTTGCCTGTTTTGGGCATTCCGTAGAAAATGAATCGTGTGTGATATGTGATCTTTTGTGTCTGGCTTCCCTCCTTTAGCATTTCATACCATGAATCAGTACTTCATTCCTTTTTATGCCTGAATAATATTTAATTGTATTGGGAATACTGTTTTGTGTATGCATTCATTAGTTGGTGACCTAATATTTCATTAGCAAAACTTTTTTCCTAGAGATTTGGTTAACATGTGACGTTTTTATTTCACTCTGTCAAATATTTTATTAATGGTAAGTTTATAATTCCTTTGAAAATAAGTTTTTGCTTTACTTTATGATTTCATGCTTGATTTCTTGATGCTTGTAGTAAATGTATCCAGAAATACCTAATAACTAAGATATTACATTTTCTAAAAATGTCATTACTGTTGTGCAAAATGTTTATTTCTTACTGTTATCATTTTTATATATTCCCATAATTTAATTATTCTTGCTTTTAGTTCCCTGTATTTTTGTTTGAAAAGAATTTTTTTCCCAAATGAAATATTAAAAATAATAGCAGTGGAAAATGTAGGTTTATTTTTATTTTATAGGTTTTTAATGAAGATACCAGATCCTTGGAGATTTCTCAGTCTTACACTACTTCACAAAGAGAATCTAGAGATTACAGTACACCTTGCAAAAGAAGGAAAATAGAACTAGGCTGGGAAGTAATAAAAGATTATCTTCAGAAATCACAAAATGATTTTGATCTTGTGCCTTGGTAAATATCATCTTTTTCTCATTCAGTACCATTTCAGTCTCATTTTTTCTCCAAAAACCTCCAACAAAATCATTTTATCTCATTGGTCAGAACTAAGTTATTTGTCTACTCCCAAACCAATTATTAGCAATGGGAAATGTGGTTGCCATGACAGGTTGAGGTTAATCATTAATGGCTTGTCTCCTGGGGCCAGGGGCAGAACCACCTTTCTTAAACTTATAGACAGCAAGTTCTAAGAAGTGGGGTACTGGAATGATAGGCAATCAATTGTTTTCTGCCTTAAGGAATTCACTGAGTTGTACATCTTAACAGGGAAAGACTTTGGTATGCATACCACCTTCCTATAGAATTAGATTAGGATGGAATTAAAAATACTCTTCAGAAATCATAATAATTTTGAGCTTATGTCATATAAATCAATTATTTTTCTTTCTCTATCATCTTTATTCTCATATTGCATTTGCAGATATTTAAATAATTGTGGAATTCTGTGGAGTCACAGAATATCCAGAAGTGTTAAATAACATGCCCTAGGACATTTATAAACTTAAGATTATAGTTAGACTTGTGAGCAATGTTCCTTCGATTTTAACTGTTTTGATGGAATGTTTAAATACAATTGAGTTGTGAGAAAAAGGTATATTATTTTGATATACGTGTTGCTTAAGTTTGTGCTATTTTATAGTTGAAGGTACTTATTTCAGTTCTTTAATCTGCCTTTCCAGTCAAGAGTTTTTTTATTAAGTACCTACTATATGCTAACTATTAGCTATTAAGTTGTCAGTCTTCCTACCATTTTAGGAAGTAGGACCTACTAAATATTAACAGTCATTTTATTTTTTATAACTTTATTTATTTTTATGTGGTGCGGAGGATTGAACCCATTGAGGGCTTCTTATGGACTAGGCAAGCGCTCTACCACTGAGCCACAGCCCCAGTCCTAACAGCGATTTTATTTTGGGAACAGAATAGAAATTTTGAAGGTGATGCTTTAATTAAGATATTAGAAGGATATCATGTTAGTATACTTATGTATTTTCTTTTAGCTTGCTAATAGGATTGAAATATTTTCAGATTACTTTTTTCCCCCTTTCTTAGTCTTTTAACATTTTTCTTTTAGGCTACAGATCACAACTCAGTTAATATCAAAGTACCCTGCAAGTTTACCTAATTGTGAGATATCTCCATTACTAATGATACTATACCAGCTTCTGCCTCAACAGCGACATGGGGAACGCACACCATATGTTTTACGATGCCTTATCGAAGTTGCATTGTGTCAAGTCAAGAAATCAAACCTAGAAAGCTCTCAAAAATCAGATTTAGTGAAGCTCTGGATTAAAATTTGGTCTATTACACTTCGGGGTATCAGTACTGAACAAATGCAGACTGAAAACTTTGGCCTACTTGGAGCCATTATTCAAGGTAATTTAGTTGAGGTTGACAGAGAATTCTGGAAGTTATTTACTGGATCAGCCTGCAAACCTTCTGGGTAAGTTTAATATGCACTTCATCGGTTTTACAAACACACACACACATCCTTGATCATATAAATAGTTTATTATTTTACTTAAACATTTGTTTTCTTTTTAAAGATGCTTTTGTTGTTTGGCCAGGAAGACTTAATTTATAATTGTGAATATAGTTTTTCTGATGTGAAGAGTTACTAAGGCTAATTTTAAAGAGATTCTTTAAAGAATTATAGAGATTACATTGCTTTTATTGTAGTTTACAGTTATTTATTCAGTATTCATGAACCATATTTTTTGTAGTACTGCATACTGTTACTATAGAGAGTTTTTCTTTTTAGAGCATTATAATTATACATAGTTTGGGGGCTCATTTTGACAAAATCATACATGCAAGAGATTTGATTTTAATCCCCATTCCCCCCCCCCGCCCCACTTTCCCCTTTCTCCCTTCCTCCTTTTCCCCTCCTTAACTCTACTGATATTCCTTTCACTCCTTTATTTATTTTGTTTTGATTGGTACTTTCTACATGTACAAAAAGGTGACATTCCCTTTGGTACATTTATATATATATAGATATATATAATATCTATATCTACATTTATATCTATATATATATATATATCAGGATTTTGTTAAATTCATTTCATATTTCTTCCTCCCTCCCTCCCTTCTTCTTGTTCTCTTCCTTCTACTCCACTGATCTTTCTTTATCTTTATGATATTGAATCCGCTCCTCCACTGCCTTCTTTCCCTTTTTTTGTTCTACTTCCATATATGAGAGAAAACATTCAACTCTTGATTTTCTGAGTCTGATTTATTTCACTTAGTATAATTTTTTACCATTTCCTTAGAGAGCCTTTTTATCAAGACTCTCCTCAAATGTTCCTAGACTTTTTATCCCACTTTTTTTAACTGAATGTACATGATTGCCGTGTGCCTGGCACTGTCCTGAGTATTGCAGGCACAGTTGTAAATGAGATAGACAAGCTGTCTGCCCCTCACGGAGGTTACTTTTAACAGTTGTCTTTGCTTCTTTGTAGTCCTTCAGTATGCTGTTTGACTTTGGCACTGACCAACAGCATAGTTCCAGAAACAGTAAAAAAGGGAACAGAACAAAATATATATGATGTAAATAGAAGTTTTACTTTAAAGGAATCAATAATGAGGTGGCTGTTATTTTATCAGTTAGAAGATGACTTAGAAGACAATACAGAATTGCCCCCAATTCTTCAGAGGTAATTTTGGCTTCTCACATACGGTTTGTTTTTTCTTCATTTTGTTTTATAAGGTTGACTTTACTTATTTGATCCCAGGTGGATTTATTTTATGATAATGCAAAATTTCCCAGTATTTGGCTTAAATATTATACATTCTCTTTGTTTTTACTGTGTTCTGTGACTTTGTGCCTGGATCATTTCTGTAAAGGTCATCTCACTGTGAGAATATGGGGAATATATACATAATTCTTTTTAATAATTTTAACTGATATATTTAAATTGTACATGTTTTGATATCTGGGTGCAATGTATATTGTTCAGATCAGGGAATGCATATCTACTCCAAATAGTTATCATTTCTTTATAATGAACACATTCAAAATGTAAGAAAATTATACAGCACATTATCATTATCTGAATTCACCCTAATATGCCAGAAATTCTTTCTCCTTTAAATTAGTACCTGTTAACTACCCTTTCTCACCACATGTATTTTTTTGTGTATTTATGTTTCTTTGTGATCTTCTGTAAATAGGTCCACTTTCTGACTTAATGTGGGTCCTTAATCCGTCATCATGAGAGTATATTCTGGGTGAAGTTTGTTAAATTAAAGGAAAGAAGAAACAAGAGAAAGACAAAATAGGACTTAAGTCTTAGTATGGGGGAATAGAGCAGCTTGTTGACTTAACCTTTACACATGTTGATTTGAACTTAATGACTGGAATGCAGACCTCTAGATTCTAATGTTTTGATTTTATTTTATAACCTTTTGTTTACTTTAGAAATGATCTTTAAAAATTAGATACGATTCTGCTTCCAAGCAGTTTGGGAAGCAATGGTAACATAATGTGTATCCTCTTTAAATTCTCCTTTCAGATATTAAAAGATTCACTACAGAAGAAAACAGTTTTAATTTAGGATCCAAATGTTAGAAATAAAAATTGATAGCTAAACATGGATGTTAAAGAATTTTTTAAAATGTTTTTTGGTCTTTTAATATAAAAACTTTTCATTTTTCTTGTTAGTAATTTTCCTCATCTCATCCTGGAGAAAATTCTTGTGAGTCTTACAATGAAAAATTGTAAAGCTGTAATGAATTTGTTTCAAAGTGCACCAGAATGGTATGTTATCTGTAGAATTATTTTTAACTACAAAAATAATAATTATAGTGGGGTAGTGACTTCATCTTATTAATTATGACTAAATTCATCAAGTAAAAAAAAAACCACAGCTATTAGGCAAAATGTTTTTGTAATTTAGTAATTATAATCTATGTTCTATAGCTTCAGATCAATTAATTGTTTTCTAATGCTGTATAGTGTAACATGACAAGTGTCATTGAAAAAAATTGAATTGTGTTGGGAAATCAGGAACATAAAATTTATATGAACTGAGTTCTTAGGTGTGACCCATTTTTTTTATGTCACATAAAATGTTAGCTTTAAAAACTAAAAGCAATTGAAAAGAAAAATAAACAAAAACTTGTTTTTATTTGATTGACTGTTGTCATTGCAATTGAAAATGACTCACTGGCATGAAGACTCCTAATATTTCAAAAGAGTATAAGATTTTAAAAATCCTATAATTTGGAGATATTAAAATTGAAAAAAATGCTGTTTTTCTTTTTAATATTTTTTTAATTGGCCATTGAAATTATAACTTGGATTTCTTTTGTCTACCTGTTAGTAAAATTTGCTACCGAATAATTTAATATGTAGGTATCAAAGACCAAAAAGGAAAACCATTTAAACGCTTAACCTTTAATTTGTTAAGTGATCTTTAAGTGATATAGATGCTGGGTTCATGTCTTTGTCCATGCCACTATCCCCCATTTTCCTCTTCCACAGACATAGTACTGAGGAATTTAACTCAGGGTCTTAATGAACGTTTGGCAAATGCTTTGTCACTGAGATACATACTCTGCTCCTTTAATTTTTTTTTTTTTTTTAACTTTGAGACAGTCTCCCTCAGTTGCCTAAGCTGGCCTCAAACTTGCCATCCTAGTCAACTGAGGCATGTCCCACCACACCAGGCTTATGTTAATATTTTAATATGAAAAGCATTGATAATTTATAGAGAGAAAGTATTAGGTAATTTGGTTATAAAGATCTCATTCTCTTGAAGTGAGCAACACCGGAAATGTAAAGAAGAGCCTTCATTCTCAGAAGTAGAACAACTGTTTCTTCAAACAACTTTTGATAAGATGGATTTTTTAACTGTTGTGGAGGAATGTGCTGTAGAAAAGTATCAATCCAGTATTGGCTTTTCTGTTCATCAAAACCTCAAGGAATCATTGGATCGATATCTTCTGGGGTTATCAGAAAGGCTTCTTAATAGTTACTCATCTGAGGTGAGACTTTTAGAAAAAGAACTAAAGCCTGTATATTAATTAAACTTTTGTAGACTATTAATGAGGAAAAATATGAGTAGAAAAAGGCACTAAAGGTGGTGATAGGTTTGGTTTTAAAAGCAAAATGTCAAGACATGGCAACGTTTAGGGAAAACAATATGAAAAATGGAAAACTGAAAAATAATTTTGAGTACATCTCTTGTACCAGGAATTCTGGTAGACATGAAACAATTTTTTTGGTTAGGTTAATGGGTAATATGAAAGGCTGGAGCAGAAGAATTACATGATGAAACAAACCTCTCAATGGAAAGGAGAGTGACATTACATTAACAGAAGGCAACCTTATTTATTGTTTGTTCTTTGTTGTGGTTTTTGTGGTGCTGAGGTAAACACAGGGCCTTGTATATACTAGCAAGCACTTTATCACTGAACTACATCCCCAGCCCCACAAAAGACACAATTTAAACAAATCTGTTAGATTTTGGTGCCATTGGAAGTGTAAGGAATGATTAAGAATGGTAATAAGTGGACTGGCAATTGACCAGTTTTTAAAGTTCATTTAGGAATTTTTCAGATTTCCTTTTTACTTAAAAGAATCTCTGGCTAGGGACATAGCTCATTTGGTAGACTGCTTGCCTTGCAAGCCAAGGCCCTGGGTTCAATCCCCAACATCAAACAAAACAAAAAAAAACAAAACAAAAAAACAGCCCTCAACTTCATGTGTACTGTTTGGTCTCTTGTCAAAATTCCCTTTTGTTTCAACTTGAAATGAATTTCTAAATAACCCACATGTTCAAATCCTTACTAAAGCCTTTTTTTTTTTTAACAAAAAACTAAGGCATAAAAAATTTTCATATTTCTTGATATTTCAGTTTTTAAATGGCACTTACTATCTTCTTTATACCAAGGATATTTATATATGTTTTATACACAGATTTCTCTTAAACTATACCATAATTTCATAAAGGGTATATATATTTTTATTTGTGTTTCTGTCTTCTGCAATGCCTTGTTAAGTGAAAATGATTAAAAAAAAATTGTTGAGTAAAGTAAAACCTGTGAGCTACTCAAAGGAGTGAATTCAGTAGTCAGGTTTATTTTAAGATTATGACCTGAAGAACCAACAAGGACAGTGTGCCTGTTTCCCCTGTCTTATTTATCTTTAATTACTTACTTTCTTCTATATCATTGTATTCACTTTCATTACAAAGTAATTTTAGTTTTGTATGTTTTCCCCTAGAATGCCATTTCCTACAATTTTGGAACAAAAAAATCTGAAAATTGTATTTTTCTGTGCAGCCTATGCACTCTTATGTTATTTTATAAAATTGTCTAAATGTATCTACCAGCAAAAATATATTCCACTAGTTTGTGGTATCTAAAAGGCAGAATAAGGTTGTGGTTCTTCAGAAGTTTAAACTGTCTTTTTACTATCTCTTTGTATAAATCTAATTTCTGCCACTTTAAGGAGAGATATCCTCCTTAACACTAGGAGATACTTAAGCCATTTTTGTTGATAATCCTGATTATCATAACTCTGTAGTGATCTTCCAGGTATTTCTAAAGATGTTCAGAACATTTCACCTGTAACTCAGCTGAAATTTTGTTCCTTCATATGTACACAAAACTTGGCTCTCACAAAGTAATTCCAGAATATTCAGAATTATTTATGAAATCCATTTTTAAAAAATGTTTTTCTGGTTTATTTTAAGATTACAAATTCAGAAATACTAGTCCGGTGTTCAAGTCTTTTGGTGGGTGTTCTTGGCTGCTATTGTTATACTGGTATAGTATCTGAAGAGGAAGCACATAAATCAGAATTATTCCAGAAAGCCAAGGTAGGAAAATTTATGCTAAAGTTTTAGATAAATTTGAATTTCTTGATAAAATTGTTACATACAGTAAAATTTTGTGCAGATTGAGCATCCGTAATCTGAATTGCTTCAACACCTGAAGATTTTTGAGTGCTAACATAACAAATAGAGAATTCCACACCTGAAATAGGCACATACACATACTTGTACAAGATTACCTTTAGGTCATGTGTATGGTCTATGAAATAGATGAATTTTATGTTTAGACTTAGATCTCATCTTCAGATGTTTTATTACATATATGGAAATACTAGAAAACCTTAAAAAATTTGAACTATGAAACCCTTCTTATCCCAAGCATTTTGAATAAGAGATACTCACCTGTATTTCTTTCATTTATGCAGTCTGAAAAGCAATGATACTGTCCTTCCTTAAGATTTGAAAATTTTATAAGCCACTATAAATATAGTAAATTAAATAATCTCACATTAAAATTTATTTTTATATATGCTTTTAAAAGTTTTCCCTGTAATGATATATCCCAAAGAATCCTTGATTAAAGGTATTAATCAACTAGGCTCTAAGCTTTTGTTTGGTCTCTGTACCACTCTGTGGTACAATTTGCAGTGAGAAAAGGATATGATATTTGTCAACATTTTGGTTGTTCGTAATTTATAATTTTATTGTATGACCATGTGCAGCAACTGAAAACATTTAATTTTTGGCCCTTAAGTGAAACTTTGAAAAGTAATACTAAAGTATAATTTTAACTGGAATTTGTATTTTTTTCTTTTACTGTTCTTAATAGTCTCTAATGCAGTGTGCAGGAGAAAGTATCTCTCTGTTTAAAAATAAGACAAGTGAAGAATCTAGAATTGGTACATTGAGAAATATGATACATCTTTGTATAAGTTGCTTGTGTAACTGTACCAAGGTAAGCCATTCATACTTGGTAGTATATTCTGTTCATGGGATAGGTTTCTTGGTGCTGCTGGTGTGGTTTTTTGGTCCATTCATAAGTTTATAAACTGATTTAAAATTAAATGGAATGCTAAAGAAAGGAAATATACAGAGAAATAAATAAATATTTAACCTGAGTTTCTAATGAAACTAATTTCATTATTTCAGGAAAGTTGCTGAGATTGTCTTGCCACTTGTATATATTACTACATAGATGAATTTTTTGTTGCTAACATATTTTCGTTCATTTAATAACAATTTGCCCACAAGTATGTAATGTGCATAACAATGTACTTGAGTTAATGAGATAAATTAACTCCAGTGCAAACATTACTTTCTTTTACCCAGATAATCTTACATAAATTTGATAGAGAATGTTACTATATAATTGTTGTTTTGATTTGGAGCAGGCTTGTGTAGTAGTTGAGCCAGGCCAGAGTGTTGATAATGATTGGAAACATCTTTGAGAGCTAATAGATGAGCGTAAGTCAGTATTATCAACATAACGTTATGGGTTTTGTGATGTATTATTGAGCATTTTGATATAAATAGGGAAGGAGAAAAGTGAAAAAATAAATTCTGGCCTATAATTGTCACTTAGGTTTGGAATCAATAGGTGATACTTTAATGTTGTTTAAACCAATGAAAGAAATTTGATAGTTATTATTACTCTAAGAGGTTAATATTTTTGAAACAACTTGTATGTTGAGCTAATAATGAGCTCTTTACCTAAATTTTATTTACAATAAAGAAAATATTATTGCCAAGAATAATTTTTATTCTTTGTGGTTTGTCTCAATTATAGCAGAATCCAAGTAAGATTGTATCAGTTTTTTTCCTACGATTGTTAACATCAAAGCTGATGAATGACATTGCAGAAATTTGTAAAAGTTTAGTAAGTATACTTTGTTATAAGCATATTTCATTTCTAAGATGACTTTTGTAATTGAAATATTAAACAGGGATACATTTCACAAGGTATAACAACTTACATTTTTATAAATGTAAATATATAAATATAAATATATTTATGAATGTAAATGTTATATAAGTTATAACTTTAATAAATTAATGTTATTTGGCTTGGGGAGAACCAAATTGCCTCTTAATACCAATACCTTGATTGCCTCTTAATATCAATACATAGGATAGTTCCTGGGTTTTAGTTTCCCTATAAAAAATAGACTGGGGACTAATCATCCAGGCTCATAACCATTTCTGTGTGACAGTACAACAAAATTCAAAATAATTCTGTCATCCTTAAAAAACTGACAAAAACATTGCCAAACCAGCAACATGTTTTTATTGTGATATTTTTCTTCTTCTGTACAAATGGGCTTATACTTACACTGTGTCTTCTCTATTGACTGAAACAATGCCTCTGCACATCATAGATACTTGAATATCTATTAAGTGGAAAAATATTCATTTAAAGGATATAGGAGAAATTCTAGTTAGGGACTTGCTTGTTCAAAAGTAATGTGAATTTTACTTTTTGTTTTTTGAGATAGGATCTCTGTATGTTGCCCAGGCTTACCTCAAATTCCTGAGCTCAAGCTATCTTCCTCAGCCTTCTGAGTAGGTAGAACTATAGATGTTTCAGGTGCACTCCACACGACTATACATGAGCTGGGTTTTATTTAATTTTTTGGTACTGGGGATTGAAGTAAGGGGCACTCAACCATTGAGCCACATCCCCAGTCCTATTTTTTATTTTTTTAAATTGATTTTAAAAAAATAAAATAAATGACAGTAGAATGCATTACAATGCTTATTACACATATACAGCACAATTTTTTGTATCTCTGGTTATATAAAGTATGTTGACACCAATTCATGTCTTCATACATGTACTTTGGATAATGATGTCTATCACATTCCACCATCCTTGCTAACTTCCTGTCCCCTCTCTTTCCCTCCCTCTGCTCTGCCCTATCTAGAGTTCCTCTATTCTTCCCATGCTCCCCCTCCTTACCCCACTATGAATCAGCCTTCTTATGTCAAACAAAACATTCAGCATTTGTTTTTTTGGGATTGGCTAACTTTTCCAATGCCTTCCATTTACGTGCAAATGCCATGATTTGTTCTCTTTTATTGATGAGTAAAAGTCCCTTGTGTATATATGCCACATTTTTTTTTATCCATTCATCTACTGAAGGGCATCTAGATTGGCTCCACAGTTTAGCTCTTGTGAGTTGTGCTACTATAAACATTGATATGCCTGTGTCCCTGTAGTATGCTGTTTTTAAGTCCTTTGGTATAGTCCAAGGAGAGGGATAGCTATGTCAGGTGGTTTCATTCCCAGATTTCCAAGGAATCTCTATACTGCTTTCCATATTGGCTGACCCAATTTGCAGTCCCACCAGCATTGTATGAGTGTACCTTTTCCACACATCCTCCCCAATACTTGTTATTGTTTGTCTTCATAATGGCTGCCATTCTGACTGGAGTGAGATGGTATCTGAGAGTAGTTTTGATTTGCATTTCTCTGATTGCTAGACATGATGAGCATTTTTTCATATATTTGTTGATTGATTGTATGTCCTCTTCTGAGAAGTTTCTGTTCAGGTCCTTAGCCCATTTGTTGATTGAGTTATTTGTTTTTTTCAGTGCTTAGCTTTTTGAGTTCTTTATATACTCCAGAGATTAGTGCTCTATCTGATGTGTGAGGGGTAAAAATTTGCTCTCTGTAAGTAGGCTCTCTGTTCACCTCACAGATTATTTCTTTTGGTGAGAAGAAACTTTAGTTTGAATCCATCCCATTTATTGATTTTTGGTTTTAATTTTTGCAGTTTCAGAGTCTTATTAAGGAAGTTGGGTCCTAATCCCACATGTTGAAGATTAGGGTCTCTGGTTTAATTCCTAGATCCTTGATCCATTTTGAGTTAACTTTTGTGCATGGTGAGAGATAGGGATTCAATTTCATTTTGTTGCATATGGATTTCCAGTTTTCCCAGCACCAATTGTTGATGCTATCTTTTCTCCAGTGCATGTTTTTGGCATCTTTGTCTAATATAAGATAGTTGTAATTTTGTGGGTTAGTCTCTGTGTCCTCTATTCTGTACCATTGGTCCACCTGCCTATTTTGGTGCCAGTACCATGCTGTTTTTGTTACTATTGCTCTATAGTATACTTTAAGGTCTGGTATAGCGATACCACCTGTTTCACTCTTCCTGCTAAGGATTGCTTTAGCTATTCTGGGTCTCTTCTTTTTCCAGATGAAATTTATGATTGCTTTTTCTATTTCTATGAGGAATGACATTGGGATTTTGATCGGAATTGCATTAAATCTGTATAGTGCTTTTGGTAGTATAGTCACTTTGATAACATTAATTATGCCTATCCAGTTGCAAGGTAGATCTTTTCATCTTCTAAGGTCTTCTTTGATTTTTTTCTTTAGGGTTCTATAGTTTTTATTGTATAGATCTTTCACCTGTTTCGTTAAGTTGATTATCAAGGTTTTTTTTGAGGTTATTGTGAATGGGGTAGTTTTCCTCATTTCCTTCTCAGAGGCTTTGTCACTGACATACAGAAATGCCTTTGATTTATGGGTGTTGATTTTATATCCTGCTCCTTTGCTGAATTCATTTACTAGTTCTAGCAGTTTTCTGGTGGAACTTTTTGGGTCTTCTAGGTATAGAATCACATCATCAACAAATAGTGCTAATTTAAGTTCTTCTTTTCCTATACATATCCCTTTAATTTCTTTCATCTGTCCAATTGCTCTGGCCAGTATTTCAAGAACTTTGTAAATAGAAGTGGTGAAAGAGGGCATCCCTGTCTTGTTCCAGGTTTTAGTGGGAATTCCTATAATTTTTCTTCATTTAGAATTATGTTGGCCTGAGGCTTAGCATAGTTAGCCTTTAAGATGTTGAGATATGTTCCTGTTATCCCTAGTTTTTCTAATGTTTTGAACAAAAAGGGGTGCTGTATTTTGTCAAATGCTTTCTCTGTGTCTATTGAGATGATCATATGATTCTTATCTTTAGGTCTATTGATTTGATGAATTACATTTATTGATTTCTGTATGTTGAACCATCCTTGTATCCTGGGATGAATCCCACTTGTCACGGTGCACAATGTTTTTAAATTCGATTTGCTAGAATTTTATTGAGAATTTTTGCATCTATTTTCATTAGAGATATTGGCCTGAAGTTTTTTTTCTTTGATGTATCTTAGCCTGGTTTTAGGGTCAGGATGTTATTGGCCTCATAGAATGAGTTGGAAGTGCTGCCTCTTTTTCTATTTCCTGAAATAAATTGAAGAGTATTGGTATTAGTTCTTCTTTAAAGGTCTTGTAGAACTCGGCTGTGTATGCATCCGTTCTGGGGCTTATCTTGGTTGGTAAGCTTCTGATGGTGTCTTCTATTTCATCACTTAGTATTTGTCTGTTTAAATTGTGTATATCTTCATGATTCAATCGGCAAATCATATGACTTAAGAAATTACGATGCCTTCAGTGTCTTCTATTTTATTGTTGTACAAGTTTTCAAAACAATTTCTAATTATTCTTTGTATTCCTATAGTATCTGTTGTGATATTACCTTTTTTATCATGTTTGCTGGTAATTTGAGTTTTCTCTCCCCTTCTCTTCGTTAGCATAGCTAAGAGTGTCAATTTTATTTATTTTTTCAAATAATCAACTTTTTGTCAATTTTTTCAATTTTTTTGTTTTGATTTCATTGATTTCAGCTCTGATTTTAATTATTTCTTGTCTTCTGCTTTTGCTGTTGATTTGTTCTTCTTTTTCTAGGGCATTGAGATGTAATGTGAGGTCATTTATTTGTTGACTTTTTCTTCTTTTAAAGAATGAACTCCATGCAATGAACTTTCCTCTTGGAACTGCTTTCATTGTGTCCAAGAGATTTCCATATCTTGTGTCTATGTTCTCATTTACCTCTAAGAATTTTTTAATCTCCTTGATGTCTTCTGCAACCTAATGTTCATTCAGTAGCATATTATTTAGTGTCCAGATGATGGAGAAATTTTTATTTTTTATTTTGTTATTGATTTCTAATTGCATTTAATTATGATCTGATAAAATGCGTGGTAATAACTCTTCTTTTTTGTATTTGTTTAAAGTGCTTTGTGGCATATATTACAGTCTATTTTAGGGAAGGATCCATGTGCTGCTGAGAAGAATGTGTATCCATTAGATGCCGGTTCAAATATTCTATATATGTCAGTTAAGTCTAAGTTATTGATTATATTATTGAGTTCTATAGTTTCTTTATTCAACTTTTATTTGAAAGATTTATACAGTGATGAACAAGGTGTGTTAAAGTCACCCAAAATTATTGTGTTGTGGTGTATTTGACTCTTGAACTTGAGAAGAGTTTGTTCGATGAACATTGTTTGGGGCATATATATTTATGATTATTATGTCTTGTTGGTGTATGGTTCTCTTGAGCAGTATGTAATGTCCATCTTTATCCCTTTTGATTAACTTGGCTTAAAGTCTACTTTATTTGATACAAGGATGGAAACCCCTGCTTGCTTTAGCAGTCCATGTAAGTGGTATGAGTTTTCCCAACCTTTCGTCTTCAGTCTGTGCATGTCTTTTCCTATCAGATGAGTCTCATGAAGGCAGCATATTGTTGGGTCTTTTTTTTAATCCAGTCTGCTAGCGTATGTCTTTTGATTGGTGAGTTTAAGCCATTAACATTCAGGGTTATTATTGAGACATGGTTTGTATCACCAGCCATATTTGTTTACTTTTGTTGTTTAACTTGACTTGATTTTCTTCTTTGACTAGTTTTTCCTTTAGGGTACTACCTCCCTCTGCTGATTTTCATTGTTGTTTTTTGTTTCCTCTTCATGGATTATTTTGCCAAGGATGTTTTATCCTGCCAGTTTTCTAGCTATAAATTCCTTAACTTTTGTTTATTTTGGAAA